GACCGGGAAGCGCGTTAGGCCCTATATAAAGGGCATAGACGCTGACCCTTTTCAATGGAAAATTCCAGTGTTCCTTATATGGAAAATGACGTAGTCAATTACAGGCCAAAGTTATAAATAGTGACCATTGACTTTGCAAGTTATCTTGACCTCGTAGAGCGTCTCTTGGCCGAGATATTGATCGATAAAGTGACGCTGTCCCGCTGAGCGACTACACGCTATGTGTTATCACTTGTTTTGCCGTGCTGATGTACTAATTGTTGAGTCTATCGCATTCTCGGCTTTGTTTGTATTTATTTGATCATTTTTGAATGGCTCATTCTATTATCAGCTTAAAGAAAATATAGATCTAGGCTTTTATATGCTTTTTATCATCTGTTGAGCCGTAAATTGTCATTTTTCAGTAGCAGCAGCAGGTATGTATACATTTCGCGTATCTCAGCTGTTTCCCCCCTGCCAAACCCCCATGTTTACAACTGATCGGCCGTGGCGGCGGGGCATTTTTGGCGGGTTACTTCCGGTGAAACGCTGAGCGCTTCTAGGGTTAAATATATAATATAAGGGTCTATGACTGTCGTCGCTAAAAACTAAAAAACCAGCCGACTTTTAAAACCGCGGCAGTGGACGCTCCCCCTAAACGAAGCTTTAGTGCCATGAACATAGCCTCAACAGCACCTGCAAACTGCATTCAGGGCACTGTGAATGTAGCCTGCAGACTAGTCTAGAATCTACATACATGGCGCCGTGAACGTAGCCACTGTGTTCCTTTTAACCCACGTAGGCCTACTGACCAATTTCAGACTAGAGATTAGATCTAGTCTAGACCAAGATCTATAGCCTACTCTATGATTAGATCTACTACTTATATCTAGATCTAGATCTAGATCTTCCAATAGATTTATAGTCTTTAAGTAAAGTAGAGTGCAGGGGGCCTAATCTTCTTACCAAGCTGAAGGTCTTGTTTCGGTTGCAGAGCCATAGATCTGTCTCACAAACGTCCTAACTAAATACCGTACACGTACGTTACAATGCCAAAATACGTTAAGACAGTCTAAGGACGTAAGCTAAAACAGAACTTGTTTGACCCTTCACTTCTCTGCCACTTCCAACTCTTAGAGATCATTGATTGAGATCATGCATGCATGGACTGGATTCCGATTCCACTTCCAATTCTTCCAGTTCCAGCTCAGCTTTCAACATCCAACTTCCATTTTCCACCAGCGGATAGTTATTTTTAGACACATATTCACAACATGGCGGGAAATGGACACACAATAAGAATGATCTCCCTTTAGAGTGGTAGAATTTGCCCACCCCTGCACACAGGCTTAGCCCAGCTGGGCCTTCGATTTTCGATTAGGCTAGTCCAAATGACATAAACAATCAATTAGTATTAATACACACAATATAGTATAGATCATACTGTCATTTCAAATTTGATTTTCAGTTTTTGTGTATTTTTGTACCTGCCTGTGTTAGGCTAGTATTAAAAGTTTTCCAATGAACGGTACCTATCTGTCGCTTGTGTATACAAAAGTGCGCGTGTTTATGTGTCTACAGTGTTTGTGTGTGTGTTTGTTTATGTGTGTGTGTATGTGTGTGTGCGTGTGTGTGTGTGTGAGTGTGTGTGTGTGTGTGTGTGTGTG